CTCTCTCTCTCTCTCTCTCTCTCTCTCTCTCTAATGAGCCGCCTCTGCTCACAGGCAAAGCCCAAGCAGGGCTGGCTCCAGTGATTAAAACAATCTGAGCTCTTGGCACTCCCAGGGCAGTCATTCACAAACAAAACAGGCCCTTGTAGGGAATTAATTCTCCCTTGGAAACAAATACATCATTCAATGGTTCAGTTTGCTGAGACAGCACATTGTCAGGTTGGGTGGGAGTCCCTGGGAAGGCCCTGTGGCTTCTGCTGGTGACAAACCTGTGCTGGTTCCATCCTCCTTGGGCTGAGCCTTCCAGCTACTGGGAGCTTCCCTTCCCATGGCAGGGGACTGGAACTGGGTGGTCTTTAAGGTCACTTCCAACCCAAACCATTCCGTGATTCTGTGGAGGAAGCAGCATCTCCAGCTGGGAGGGACAGGCAGCTGTCAGTTGTTTTCCTTGGGTTCTCCGTGCAAAAATTGGCAGTAGCCATGAGATCATAGAATCACAGATTTGTTAAGGTTGTAAAGATGTTTAAGATTATCAAGTCCAATCTTCAAGGCAGTGGGAGGGAGAGGCAGGCACTGCACCCTCCTGGCTCATCACCAAGCAATGGCCTGGAGCCCATGGCCCCATCATCTCTTGTTCAGTACAAACTCATACATCACATGGAAGCTTTAAAACCCTTTAAGGGGCTTCTGAGGAGTTCCTTGCATTTATTACCAAGCTCAGATCCTGTCAGACAATGGGTTTGTCATCTTGCAGAGACTCCTCCGGGGTCCTCCCTTGCAGTTTTGTGTCCCCAGTGTGGCCACACACCAGTGAGCTGTGTTTGCATTTCCAAGGGTTCAATCATAATCCCGTGGCAGGGAGAAGGCCGGGGCAGTTTCCAGCTCTCTTTGGCATGTCCAGGTGGAAGACAAGGATCATCTTGTGAAAAGTGCACATTATGTGGTTCTACACAGATATTTGCAATATGTATTTTGATGTATTGATTAGTAGTGCTGTATTAACATTTTAATAATATAATAAATGTAGTCTTGTAATTAAAAGGTAACTTTTGTAGTTAAAATAAGAACTATGTCAGTGGGATTTTTTTAAGAAAGGAATGAGGCACTCGCACCAGATAGCAGCCACAGGACACCTGAATCTTTCAGAGAAAAAGAATTTATTGCCCCATTATCAGAACAAATTAACTTCTTCCTGCCTCAAAGGCGCTGTTAGGATTAGAAGGAAGAAGCTGATGATGACCAGACAGAATCCTGTGTTTGAATGGAATTTATGCGTCATGCATGAAGTGCATGAATATGCAACAGGCTGTTGTTTTTAAGGGTTAATCTTCTGTTAACGTGGGTCCTTTTTCGGGCTCGTGCTGCCCAGAAAAAGGTACCTGGACATCCGTAACTCTTTGTCTTTATTGTCTCATATTGTCCTAATTCAAATTGTCCAAACTATTATTACTCTAATTGTAATAATATTACCATATTATTATTATTACTATTTTTATTAATATCTTCATTATTATTACTATTATTTGTATTACTATTTTAAATAATTTTATAATTATTTATATGTATTTATATATAATTATATCTATTATATAATTATATCTATTATACATACATATTTGTATATAATTATTTTATTTTTATAATTATTTTTATAACTATCTGTATTACTATTTTTCTTTTAAAATAATATTTAGTAAAAGTTTTTTTATTATTGCTATTAGTTGTATTACTATTTTTATAATTTTTAATAATTATTTGTATATAATGATATAATATACATTGTATATAATTATAACTATATATTTTATTTTTATAATTATTTTTAATAATTATTTGTATCACTATTTTTAGATTTTATAATTTTTAGTAATTTTTTATTATTATCAATATTTGTATTACTATTTTAAATAATTTTTATAATTATTTGTATATAATTATTTTATAACAATACAATAATTATTGTTTAATAATTATTGGTATTACTTTTTTATAATTTTTAGTAAATTTTTAAAATTATTATTACTATTTTAAATAATTTTATAGTTTTTATATCATTAGATATATAAGTATATATATTATATATACATAATTATTTGTATATAATTATTTTATTTTTATAATAATTTTGATATTTATTTGTATTACTATTTTATAATTTTAATAATTATTT